AGAAAATGACCCTTATGAATGGAATCTTAAGTAGGGGGCTTAGCCCGCCCGCCTACCAATCAAAGAGGCTGAGAGTAAGCGTAAGCTCACCCGTAAGCTCTTCGAGCTTCCCTTCATTCGCTTCGCGGGAGCCGCACAACACATAGCTGGAAGTCAGAGGGCCCATACTACCTGCCTAACCCCTCGCTCCGAGGGACCGTAGATCGGAAAACGCCTTATAAATAAACCACCCCATTCATCTAAAAGAGAGGGGAAGGGGCCTATGTATTTGCATGACTCCTACGGATTTTACCCTATCTACACCCGGAGCCAATCCCCTATCGGTCCTGCCACCACGCCGCAGAACGGGAGCTCGTGTGGAACCTTTTATTTCTGGCGTAACAGCGGCGGAACGTAACAAAATCTTACGGGTCGCGTAACATAAGGGCCGGAGGTACGGTAAACTCGGCCAAAATATGACACCCGAAGGGCCCGGCGTGGACGCGAGCTTCTATAAGAGAATGAGAAGCTCTCAACACAAGAAAACGCGAACCGCGCGGAGCCCCCCCGAGTTCGTTTTCTGCCGCCACTGGCCGGCCGCTGGGGAGACACAGCCCGGCCCCCTCCCGGGAAACGGGGGTGGGGGTCCAACAAGCACTTGCTGCAGAGGGGGCCCACAAGCACCCGGCCCGCCCCTTCTTCTTCAGTAAAGCCGACCTCTTTTTCGCCAGTGCTGACGCAGTGCGCACGTAGATAAGGAAAGCAAAATCCCAGCGGTCGGGGGGAGGGGAAAGGCTTGGGCTGGGCCTACCTATCCCGAGAGGACCTCATAAAGGAACGAGAGCTGTTGAGAGGTTCCATATTGCCGAGCCGAAGGTCTTCTGTACGTGATCGTAGTATGTCACGTCGTCTCGTCCCCGCTGCATTGAAGAGTACCTATGCACTATTTCCGGTTCACTGATAAGGAAGATAGAGTTGGGGTGGGGGTCTACGATGTGATACTCAAGTATGACCCGGGGAGATACATGCTAACTATGGGTAGAAAGCAGGAACCCTTATGTAAATAATTTCGGGGGGTTACAGATCTCTTATACTACCATCGATCGACAGAGCGGAACGACCAGAAAAAAAAAAGTGAAGTTAGAAAGCCGTATGATAGGCGGTAACTATCTTGTACGGTTCGGGGGGTAATCGGCGTACTCCGATCAGTGGGGGGGGGGGAATCTTTGGCTCTATCGAACATACAGGGAATTGGAGGTAGCATTCCACCGATGTTAAGTCATGGACTGGTTCCTTCAGCCCTTTTTCTATGTGTTGGTGTTCTATATGACCGACATAAGACTCGACTTGTTAGATATTACGGAGGTTTAGTGAGCACCATGCCGAATCTCTCTACCATTTCCTTCTCTTCCACTTTGGCCAATATGAGTTCACCTGGTACTAGCAGCTTTATCGGGGAATTTCCCATCTCAGTAGGAGCTTTCCAAAGAAATAGCTTAGTAGCCACATTAGCAGCGCTTGGGATGATTTTAGGCGCGGCGTATTCCCTTTGGCTATATAATCGTGTGGTTTCTGGAAATTTAAAACCCGATTTCCTCCATAAATTCTCCGATCCAAATGGCAGAGAAGTTTCCATATTTTTACCTTTTATTGTTGGAGGGGCGACCGTCCGTTGAACTACCAAAGAAAAAAGGGTAAACCAATGTGATCATGACATTGTAGGTGCTTGCGATGGGGCTGATGCGACTTCCCTCAGTTGGTTTGGGTGGCATAGCCCGTTGCAGAAGTCCCCCCTTTTTTGATCCATTTCTTTAGTCTTTAGGGAGCCAAAGCTTTACTTTACTAAGAAAATAAGGCTCGCGCAGGGGCGCTCACGTTTTTTGGCTGAGCCGTATCTTGCTGGGTGGGACCGAGAGCAAGAAAGGACGGGGGGCAACCATGCATGGTACTTCTCGACCGTGTCTCCGAGGGACAGTTGAACGAGCGACTCATGAATGCTGCCGGGTTGGACGAGCCAATAACTCGAACGCGTTCGGTCTGTTTTTTGAGCAAGAATCACAGCGTTACCTTACCTTCACCATGATACGGACTCCAAGTTCTTATGGCAGAGCGCGAGGAGATTTATCATCAATATGATGATGGGAATGGAAACCAGAAGCACGACCGGGGTCTTCGTGGTCCAAGATAATAAAACCATCAGTAACAGTAACGTAAGCATGAGACTTTTTGGTAGTACCGGTGAACCAGATGGCCGCGGCGATGGAATCTGGGACGGAGGACTCGTAGTATCTCTCTAGATCTGGCAAAAGCGAAAGACCCCCTAACGTAATTCGAATGGGGGCTGACCTGACCGCTGAGCCCACTCTGGCCTCGCAGGGCGGGCCCCTGTGGTTTCGAGCTGGAGCTGCCATAGCTTATGGCTAGAGCAATGGGAGGGGGCCCCGGCAGAGAGAACAGTAAGGATAACGAGCGCTCCGCCCGCTTGGCGGGCGGCAGGAGCAGCGGGCAAGTGCTTGGTAGGCCAACAGCCCAGTGAACCGGGCGGTGCACTCGACGAAAGGGGGGTACACTGAGCAAGTACGAGAAATTGGCCCCGCTCCGCTTTATTAAAAGCAAGGACCACTACGGGAGGTCAAACCAAGGACCTATGGAAGTCGGGGCTCGTCCCCGGTCAATATTGGATCAAACAATAGAGGGCCGTAGCACTGACCTCTTTTTTTTGATTTTTTCAATACAATAGGGGAAAAGATCGTACAGTTCCCTACCGAGACAACAGACACTCTCAAAGGATCCTCCGTGCGCTGGGCATACCTCTTCTGTGCGTCTTTCTCGTGGCGGGAACAGAACAACAGGGAAAGACCCGGCCGACCTGCCCTCAACAATAAAGCTCGAGGGCTTGAGACGCGTTTGCGCCCTACTCGTCTAGGGCCCTTGCTTCTTCGGTCGAGATACTGCGTAACCTCTCACTTCGTTCGAGATCTCCGGGCCTCTCGATCTTATTCGTAGTTGGGAAGGGAGAAGGAGTCTAAATCAATGGACATTAATGAACCATCATTGATGGACGTTGCACATGACACGATCAATTCAACTCAAGGTCCGGCGCTAATAGAAGTTGCTGACTCTCCTAGTAGCGAAGGAAAAAGGCAGGGCTTTTTTTGTAGTAATAGTGGGCGGGTCTCATGAGATCTATGCCGGCCGTCGGAATCAAATGGAAGGGGTCGAAGGACCATTCGATTCATTAAGGGGCATAGATCTAGGCCTATTTGTTTGGTCAATCACCAAAGGCGGGGGGGAACCACTATGGGCGAGACCCCCCGGCCTCGATTCTTTTGCATAGTCCGGGGGCCGGCCGCAGCAGAGCAGCGGGGCATAGCGGCGCCCTCGCCTGGCGCCATTCCCGGATCTAGCAGCAGACGGGCGGGCCGGGCCTGAATTCAGACCAGACCAGACTTTTCTTTATTTGAGCTGCTCCCACGCACGCAGACCGGAAGATCTCAGTTGTCCTGGACTGGACAAGTACGTAGAGATCTTCCTTGCCCGGAATGCGAGGAATGAGACCGCACTGACTCAACCAATAAATAAGAAATTCTATCTTCACTCTCCGGAAGAACGATCTCATTAATATGAGATTCAATTCCTACTTTCACTATAGACCAAAAGCGATTCTTGAATACCTACAGTGCGCATCCTCTTCTCGTAGAGAAAAGAAAGGAAAGGACAGACCGGGTTGCTTGCTTCCTTGATTGCTTGACCGGACTGACTGAGAGCAGGGAAGACAGGGGATAGAGTCTTGTCTTCCTTATACGATTCCTTGAACTCTGAAAGCACTCTACTAAGTTTCAACGAATCCTGTGCAATTCCATTTTTTAGCTCGATCGGTAATGTGTTTTATGAGGGGAGTGGGTCGGCCATGGAAAGCATTCTGGTTGATTCTTCAGTGAGGCATTAACGAATCTCACATTGATTGAAGTGTTTGATCTTCCCCGGTCAGTCAAAAGATGAGGAGTAAGTTTCTCGGGGAGAGGCAGGTGGTAGAGGCGCTGAACTACATTACATGGATGGCGGGAGGAAACAAATGTCTGAAGCGGGCCGGGTTGGTTGAGATTCCCACATTTGATCCTACTTTCAAAGGCGGACCCAGGGAGGAAGTTCTATAACTATGCCATCCTTGGGGATGACATAGTTATAGCTGACTCACAGATTGCCAAAGCCTATCAACTCCTTTTGGAAGAGATAGGTGTCACCATTTCCCTACCTAAGAGTTTAATCTCTCATAAGGGATGTTGTGAGTTTGCGAAGAGATTCCGTGTTCGGGACGGGAGAATTGATGTCTCTCCTATCTCGATGCGGGCCCTCCTCGTAGCTCACCACCCTTATGGACTGATGTCGATATATCAAAAAAAAATAGAAATTCAATCGATTGTCGACACCGGGTAGGTGGCGTGGGTTTTAATACCCTTGCCAGGTGGCCCTCTTCTACGAATGAGGAGAATTTTGGCGTTGTATGACCACTCCCGACTGCCTGTTACTTGGTGGTTGGGACGAGGCATGCCTATATCTAATTCCTTGATCGGCTTGATGATAACCCGGTTAAGAGATTGGATGAAGGACTTGAAAGTACCCGGTAGTGAGTATTTCACTCACTCCGAGAATTTCGAGTTCTTAGAATGGACGTGCCTCCGGTCATGGATGAGTCAGTGGTTGCTGTATGTAAAATTTTATTACAGCACCCTACCTCAGCAATCAATAACACTCCTCTCCCAGCAAGAAAAGGGATGCGCGAAGCTAAGGCGCACCGGCTTTCGCGCTAGCTCAGTCCGTTGCTTCTTCGCTCGAGCGTCAGCTCGAGGGCTTGAGACGCGTTTGCGCCCTACTCGTCTAGGGCCCTTGCTTCTTCGGGAGAGCTACATAGTAACCTCTCGCAAAGCTCGAGCATCTTCGCTCCTGCGCGAGGGGCATCTTTGTCTGAAAATGGTGAGATCATTAGTGAAAGAAGGACCAACGACGATCCTATCCTAAAGGAGGAGCAGGAGTAGGAGCTAAAATTCGGACGGAATCGCGAGATAGACAATGAGAAAAAGCCAAGAGGGGAGAGCACTTAGACAATTCACTTTGAGTACAGGGAAGTCTGCTGGTAGGAATTCTTCAGGGCGTATTACGGTTTTTCACCGAGGGGGTGGATCGAAGCGATTGCAGCGAAGAATTGATCTGAAACGAAGCACTTCGCTTATCTCTTTTCTTTTGTTAATAGCTCTATTCTCTTTTTTTCATTTTTTGTGGGGAAAAATACCACTTCTTTGGTGTTCTTCTGTTCTTCTCGAGTGGGCCCTTTTCGCCATGGGTGACCTTTCTCTTTCTGTCGGAGGGGATGGAAGTGGTCCGAGCTCTTCGACACGACCGCCTTTTGACCTCAACATGCCGCCAGAAGAGGAGGAGCCTGCCCGATCCTTCGATCTAAACAGGCCAGGTGATGAGCCTGGGCCTTCACCCGAGGAGGAGCTCCTTTATCTTAAAGAAGAAAAACTGCGCCTAAAACAGGCGTTTCAGCAAGCAATCCAAGACTTTGAACGACTCCGCGAGGCGATTGACCAGTCACAAGAAAGCAATCCTCAAAGCGCTTCAGCCCTGGGGGAGAAACTTAGCGGACTAGGCCAAAAGTTCAAAGATTTGGAACGAATGCAAGAACGTTTGTGTCAGTTGGAGAGTGACTGTTATAAAACAGTTAGAGACAGCCGGAACTAAAAAATAGATATAAAGGGTATCAAAACGTCAAAAAATGGGACCTTTTTCTGACCAATTTAACTCATTTTTGGGCGGATATAGAAAAAAAATCTCAAAACAGGGATTTTGACTAAAGGTACCGTGATACTTTCTGTTTTGTCGAGCACGAGATTGGGCCCCTTCTCAAAGATTTGATGGAATGGCCCAGCCCACCCAAGAGCGCTTATGTCATATGGGAAACTCATGGCTGGTGGAAACAATCCTTATGGTTTTGATATCCGGTAGGAATAAAAAGAATCAAAGTCCAGGTTGGTTGGTGAGCCTAGTGATAGGAGACTATCTAGCTTGGTTCGGAGAGCACTTGTTGGGTTAAAGATTTTTTTGTTGCTAAATGTTACGGCCTAAATGCTGAACTATTGACCCTACTTGTTCGGATGGGTGTTCACCCCAAAGTGTTCCCGGACCGCATGCATACATCCGTAAGTAACTTAGTGCAACATGGCAAATTTCATCTTTGAGGAATCAGCAAAGAAAAGAAAAACGGGTCAACATCTTAATGTGTATTTTTGAGAGATTGTCCTCGGGCGGAGGAGTGTCCACATGAGTTCGTTGAGGTGTCTACATAGGAATAAAAACAAACCTCTTTTATATTCTGTCGAGAGTTCGGATTGCTCCACCTAAGTAGAACGAAAAGGAGGGAGCCGGAGGCTTCAAAGGGGGAGCATGCCCAATCCCCCGAGGATAAGCAGCCTTCTAAGGTCCTATAGCGGGCAACAGAACGAAATCTCTTTTTCTATTCCCAAAGGATGCTTACAGGTCTAGTCTAATAGGCAGTTGCAGGTCATTACTTCAGCGTCACAATCTCATTTGACTCAATCCCTGGTTTCCTCTGCTCTAAAGTCTAGTCCCTTATCTTCAAAATCACTGATCCGGGAGGATGCTTTTGCAGGTTCTCCTTGTGTACAAAATCCCCGCCTGCCTCATTTATGGTAGGCCTGGAAGAAGAAAGCAAAGCTAGGATCGAAGGAGAAGGGGAGATCTCTGCTCTTATCGGTAATTAGGTATGCCTCTAGAGATCTGAATGAAGGAAAGTAATAGCTAGAAAAAACAGGCTATTCCATCTAAGGCATAAGATGAACCGAGGAATCCAACCAAATATGAATGAATAGGCATGTGGGAACAGCATTGCTTGCATTGATTCAATTGATTTGAAGCGGCGGTTATACTATACATACAGTGTTTTTTCACAAACATGGGGTTTTTACCGAATTGTTCACAAGCCCGTCAGAAGCAACCTCAGCAGAAAGCCACTCTTCCAGAGTCTCGTCCATCGTCTGCTTAGGCTACTATTTAATTGCCTTTAGATCTTCCTGTGAGTTAGGGCGAATACTAGATTATTCTTACTCTATTCCGGCTTTGAAAGGCCTAAGGCCAACTGCCATATAAATAGTAATGAAATATCTGGAAGGACGTGTCACTATCAATATCCGTCTTTATTCCTGACTGCCTTTCGTAGTAAGACTCAATCTCCATACTTATCTAAGTAAGGGCCACCTGCTAGCAAGTTTACCTGTGGGGCTTGTATTCAAAGTAGTACTTCTAACTTGCTTCTCAAGCTCGTCATTCTTCTATTTCCTCTATTATTTCCTCTATAGGAGTTCCGTGCCCAAGGGTTGTTATTTGTTCTTTTGAGTTAAGGTTGGATCCCAATTGGGTTAAGGTAATAGATTCACCAGGTTTTGGATGATCCGAGGCTGGAAGGCCTCAAGATGACAGACTTCTTTCTCGCTTTCTTTCTAGTTCTCTTTGGCGGGATATGCCCTCTTTGAAGGCCCTTTCTTCTACTTCTAAGGATCTCTCTGCTGCAGGACTGGAGAGTAACTAAGTCAATCAGACTTTCGAACTTCTTTCAGACTGACAGGCCATTTGATCCCACTGATGCTAATTCTACGGCTGCAATTTAGTCAAAGAGGGCCATTTCCTCAGAAGTAGTTGATTACCTTTCCTCCGCTGCTGGAAGTGCTTTAGATCGAGGAATGTTATCCTTCACTACTTGTAGTAGATTGTATTAGAAGAGAAAGAGTTCCCTCGGGCTGCTCTGTCTCAGGTCTGCCTTCGTAACTCAGTAAGTTCCCAGAGAAAAGGATCTTCTTATCTTCTACTGCTTTTCCCACCTTTTCTGATGAAGCTGGGGCTTGAAGAAAGAAAGAAAGCTATCCATATGAGATTGACGCTTAGGCTGACCTTGAAGAGAGGGGATTTTGAAGAGAATCCCAGGCTTTGGGAATAGATTCCCCGGATAAAGAAAAACCTCGGGCGCCCAAAGACGTATTGATATTGAGGTCCTGACCTTCCTATAACTATTGTCTTACCATCCCGTGCTTAGACAGATATGGTAGGCAACTAGGCCCTAAGACCTCTTAAGAAAATCCCAATCCCTATGGGCACTTCACTACGAGATTGGAGTAGACTTAGCGCTGTCTGTCAATTTCCCGTCCAGCAACAGATCTTATAGGCAACAGGAAGTCTAAACCCCAGGATTATCATCCAACACGCCATTCCTACCTGATACAGAGAAGGCGTAAGTCTGACTGATGAAATGCCATATTCCTTGGAATCTCTTCCATATTCTGTATCTGTCACCGCCCCTATTCTCTCTAGCCCGGTGGGATAAGGACGTAGTTGAGTTAGTTGATACAATCCAGTCCTTGGAATGAGTTGACAGAGAAGAATGAGCAGAAAGCACCTAAGGGAGAAGCAGGAGCTAGTACGCAATAGTTAGTCGTCCTTCCGCATTGGCAGTAAGTTAGTCGCGTAGTTAGTATGAGAACTAGGCTTAGACGTAGTCAACCGGGGAGCTCGTAGACAAAGAGTTGCCCACAAAGACCAACTCCAAACTCATCAATAACCCTAGGGCAAAAGCCTTATAATCTATTTCAAGACCCGGTTCATCTAATCCTATGCCCTCTGGGCTCATATCCCCTTAAGCCTGGGAAGTTCGTTAGAAAAGAATGGCCAGTCAGTTTGAAAGCAAGGTATTCCATTCCTAGTCAGCTCTGATTACCATCCGGAGGTCCGCTATTCCTTAACCCAACCAGGGATCAAACCCTAACAACAAATTACTAAGAGGCCCGGATCGGGAGTTCGATATAGACGTATTAGCACTCACTCTTAAAGCCCTGCTTTACAGCAAACTCTTGATATTTAGACTTAGGCGCCTTTACTTGAGAGATTCCTCCAATCCCGTCCGCCTAAAGGAATACGAAAGGATTGGCATAAAGGCCAGGAAGTTAGAAAGCAGCAAGTAATCTTTCTATTTTGACACCGCCAGAGATGAGATTGATAAGCCGTAAATCAGTTCGAAAGCGGTCTTAGTGGGAAAGCAAGAAGTCATATTTAGAGTGACACGTCCTTCCTTAGAATTAGCAGGAAATAAGGTTTAGTTACTTTCCCGTCCTTGGAAGAAATGCCATATAAATAAGGTAAGAAGATCCCTTAGCTTCTAACTGATCTCTAGGCTCTTCAAACCTCTCTAGCTCCGGGGGAACTTAGTGAGGAAAGTCCATGGGAACTTTACTACTGCTAAGAACAATTGCTTTTCTTCCCAGATCGGGATTCCTATAATCCGTATGAAAATAAGGCTCAGGACAGCGATGAGGATTAGTGGGCAATTGCCTTATTCCATTTTATAAAGGAGGAGATGCGAGGAATAGCTCATTAGATCCATGCCACTTCGAACTCCAAGTCTTAAGCAGAATAAGAGGAAGAACGAAGCTTTCCACTTATTAATTTATTCGGAGGTCGGGAGAGCAGCTACTTTTTGACTTTCAACCTACGACCGAAGTCAAGGACTTGACTGGACAGACTGATTGAGAGACAGACCAGGCAGGCTACTTTCTATAAAGAAGAGACCTTTTTTATTTCCGGATAGGCCCACAGGATAGAAAAGTAGATCGTTCAACTCTAGCTTCTGTTTTCAGGTCCCACATTGAATCTCAAATTGATCTTTGCTACATGCTGCTTAAGACATCGAATTCGAAGAAATAGAGAGTGAGCAGCTGACTTGCAACCTAGGACCTAGGGGCAGGAAAGATGATATTACCCCAAGACTGACTTTCACTATGCATTCATTCGTGCACTATCTAAGATCCGATTCTCTAGTAACCTATTCTTTCTTTAATATTGATTCATCTTCCCATCCTATTCTTTCTATCTCCGTAGTCAGTCTGGCTGCATACTCCTTCTGGATGAGTTCTGTGGCAAGCTGACGGATTCTGCTACTTCTTCTCTTCCGAAAGAACTTATTCTTCTAAGAGCGGATATTTCAAAGAGAGCACCGGATCTTGCATGAATGTGCACATTCGATTTGTTCACATCTTGAATATGACCCTTTGCCATAGACCAATTGCCAGAGATTGGCTAGCATGAGGACAGATAGGCTAAAGAGAGGTTAGCCCTAGCTAGTGTTAGAGAGCTTGCTGGATGAGAGCTGACTAGACTGAGTTCCACTTCCATACTCCAGTTTACAGAGGGCTAATGGCTGGCTTGTTGGTTTAGTATAAAACTATAAAGGCATAAAATCTCTTATTTTCTATATTTATAGATTCATATAGCGTTCCTGACTTATAACATTTGAATTTCTCAAAACATTTTAAATTGTAAACGGGTATGGCTTTAACTTCATTCATTTTGACAAGGATAAAATCAATGGGAAGAGGTGATTCATGTTCAAGAGAGCAGCTTTGTAGGGAAGTGAGTCATTACTTTCTATGCCTATACCGGCAGTAAAAAGTCAATAGTTAGTCGCCCTTCCCCATTAAGGATGAAAGAGATTCGGCTCTATCTCTATTGCTTGATCTTCTTGCAAGTCGTTGATCTTCTCCTCAAAGTTAGGCTTATCTGCTGCTTGATTCGTTCTTTGCTTTCTTTGATGTCTAGCTAGTAGCCCCTCCTCCCTTGATCGGAGTTTAGTTCCTCTCTGTCTTGCCTTAGCTATTATATAATAGTTCGGCCCAACCTCTATCCCCTAAATCGAAAAAGAAATTCTCTATCAGGTTCTCTCTATTGGTTTGAAGGCGATACTCCTAGCTGCCCACTTTTCTTTCTGCCGCTTAGTCCTTCTCCTTGCTGGTGTGCAGTCAAGCTAAAGTGCCTTTCCCCCTCTCATAAGCTAATAAATAATAAAGTAAAAGAAAAGTAAATCAAGCTCAATTTCATCTCCTGGAGGAAGCCCTCCCTATTTCCTAAGAGCTAGTAGGGCTCTTTTGGTGCCCTATATTTGAAATAGACCACCTATGTAATGTAATATTAAATCAAGCTTTCAGTAACTTCTGTCCCTTAATTACTTCTTCTCGTGCTTGCTTGGGCCCGTCTTTCTGTTGATTCCGTGAAAGAGGTCTAGTTCATTCCCCTTTCTTTG